TTTAAAAAAAAAAAACCCAAATTAACATTTATTGAAACCTCTTAATCACAACATGTATATCATTTTAAAATCATACCAAAGTAAAGAAAATATTCTGAAGGGAATTGCATTTCCTCATGTGTCACTTCAATCTAATTTACAGCTACAGTAAAGGCACTCAGTCAATTATTTACTGTAGACAAAAAATAAAATAAATAAAAATCACAGCAGTCTATTAACMATACATAAAGTGTGTCATGATTAAATGGGACAGGTGCCTCCATATAGTAATTAAAAGTAAGTAAACTGTGCATACAGAACAAACTTTTTTTTAAATTATTATTATTTATATTTTATTTTTTGCTGTACCATACCATGCTTTCATGTTGTTTCTTCTATTCAGAGCTGATCATTTATCATTTACTGTACATTTCAGGTCCTTGCTGATGCCACAGCAGAATACTGTATAAAAACTGTTCTTTTTAGAAGCTGTTTATGGTAAAATGATCTTTTTTAAATACTTTTTCTTCAGTACTTTACATAACTTCTAGATGAATTCCTTTTTAAATATGGGACAGATTTTTGAATTCATGTACACAATTACCATCTACAAATGTTTGTTTTTATTACATCTTTCAGCTGATGTGGGTGATCTGATGGCCATGTTTCCGTCTCTACGAGAAGACGAGTTCTTGGATGGAGCAGCTGGAGACTGCAGAACAGAGAAGGTTGCCACCGAGCTCAGCGTGTGAAGGACCAGATAAACCCGAGCCGTGACAGACCACGTCACGCTTCAACACCAGCTGATTGTTTTGCCAGCACTTTTCTAAATTTTAATATTTTTATATGTGTGCTATACAAGTACTGATTGTTGTTTTTTCTTGTGACCAAGTTGTTCCAAATGAAATGAAGAGTGTCAGTTGTTGCTGTTACATTTTTTATTATTATTGAACACCACATTTTGGTTGACACAAGACAAAAAATCAGTTAACAGTCAGGTAAGTTGATGTAAGACTAWACAGTATGTACTACTTCATAAGGTCTAAACTGGATCATAAATAATAAGAACAGTAAATTAGTTACTCAGCATAATTAAAAACAATATATTGTCCATCTTGTAGCAGAAGTCTCTTCCTGATTTTGTGAATGACACAGGCAGGTATCGGTACTCTGCTTCACCTTGTCCTGCTCCTGATAGAAAACACTCCTCTGATGTTGTGATCACACACAGACACTGGCATCTGCCAAATAAAAAAAGTAGTTTTTTAATATTGTGATCAGCAGAGGAGTTAAGAGTCCCAAAATAAATTCCTCTGATGATCAATTTAATGTACAATCATGCAATATGTATATTATAGTAATGACAGTAATCTCAMATTTATTTCTGTGTTGAAGAGATCCAGTTAGAAAAACCCAAATCATTTTATCAATCCAAATTCATTTAGTACATCTGCTTAAACCATCCCATTTTAAGACAATGTTTGATATCTGATTTTTATTCTCATTAACCTAAATATTAATCAAATGAGCCCTTGTGGATTGTGAAGATGTTGGGTCAGTATCTYCTCTGACCACAATATAAAGCAGATATTTGAATTATATTGCTAAAAATTTATTAGAAAAGTCAGTTTAATTAAATTACATATGAACATTTCTTTTCAACTTTCATCATCTGCAATGCAAATGTTTTCCTCTTATTTGACTGATAGGTGTCAGGTTGTGAAACATGGAAGCTCTGTGTCCGGGTCTCTGCCTTGTTCTGTGGGAGTTCCGCAGGGTAGCATACTGGGCCCATTGCTTTTCCTATTATACATAAATGACCTTCCAAAAATATCGAAGTATTTAAATATTTTAATGTATGCTGATGATACTGTTCTTTTTTTGTCTGATTTCAATATTGAATCTATTAATAGTCAGTTACAAGCAGATCTTCAGACATTTCATGGTTGGCTTCAAGATAATCTTTTGTCAATTAATGTTAAAAAACTGTGTGCATGTACACTGTGCATTTTTCCTCACCCAGGAGACATTTCAATATAACAAATCAACTCACTTTTTTAAACAAAAACAAACCCTTTGATATTTTCACTACCTACAAATATCTTGGAATTACTTTGGATTCTCATTTGACTTCAGAATTATGTTTTGTATAGTGGTATTAATT